GGCGGACCAGGAGGTGCTCGCGCTCCGGGGACGGAGGACGGAGGATGCGAGTGCCCGGCTGCGCGAGAAGGCGGCCCGGCAAGCAGAGGATCTTTCCACCCTTGAGAACTTCTACGTCGATATGTACCTTTTCTGTTTTTCGTTGTTGGTTTTTTCCTTCAGCCTATTTCTGAGCTTGTCGCTCTTCTCTCAGAGCTGGGTGGGAAGGTGAAGACGCTGGAGCGGGACCTAGAGACGATCAAGGCGACCTTCAGCCGAAATGCGGAGGAACTGGCCAAGTCCCGTGAAGAGCGACGTGCTCTCGAGGGGGATCTTGACCAGATCCGCAACGTTGCCCAACTTGTCGTCTCGGACGTCTTCGGGTCGACGCCCAGCACTAGCACGCCCGCGGTCCAGCTGGCGGAGGTCCCGGATGCGGTTCGGGACCTTATCAGGAGCGGGCTGTTCTACGGGGCGTCGGGGGTGCTGACTTCGGTGGCGACGCACCATCCGAACCTGGACTTCGCTGCCATCTGCAGCGGGTATGCTGAAGGCTTGAGCATGGAGGACATCTAGTCGATCTGGGAGGGCTTGTTGCCGCACGCAAGGTCGATGGCAGATCAGGTCTCTGCCCAGTGGGTGATGGACGTCCGCCGTGAAGATATGGCCAGAAGCATGCGCGGGGAAGACGCTGCCTAGCCTGCGGATGGCGCGGAGCCTGGGTCAGAGGTGAACGTCGCCCCGGTTTCGACCGAGCCGAATATCGTGCCGCCGGGGAGTGAGCAGCCTACTCCCTCGTCGGTCGTACCGACAGCAGATGCCGCCGGGCCAGTCCAATAACTTGTGAAATATAAGTAGTTTAGTGAGCGTAGAAAGTTTAAGTTCGTGGGGGAGTCCCCGTGTAAACGTTCCTGTGTGCTTAATGACCACGGTCTGTTTTGTTTTCTATAATGGAGTCACTCCGTTCGGGAAAGTTTGTTCCCCCTTTGTTCCTTAGTTTTCCCTTAGCATAATTTTGTTTCTTTCTTCTTTCTTTCTCGTGCCTGCCCGTTTGTTCCGTAGGCTGCGACCTTGGGAGCCCGAGGTGTGGCCCGCGAGGCTCGACTGTTCGTAACCGTAGGGAAAGGCGGGGTGCGATCGGTCGGAATGTTTTTAAAGCAAAGCTACATAAGGCAAATTAAAGGAACAAACTATCCTTTTGGTTGGGTAGGAAGGAATTTCACCATACGATAGTAAACAAAACAGAGAGGTAGTAGTGTACCCTAGTGGAGCCCCCGAGGGCCCCAGGCCAAAAGAGTGTTCGGGTCAGGGTGCTCTTATAGGAGCGTATGCTAAGTAAACAATGGTAAGATTGAAACTTAGGGAAAAAGCGGCATAGCTGTTCCAGGCGTTCGGAGAGAAGGGCGTCGTTGTTGTCCTTCGGTCGGTAGGCGTCCGGTCGGATCACTTCGTTCTTTAGTCGTCCGGATCCTTGCCCGCCGTGCCCCCTTTCACGGTTGCTGCTTCTTCACCTTTTTCTTTCTTTGGCCTGTCGGTCTGTCGTAGAAGGCGCTTGAGGAGCTGACAGACCTTGTAGAGGTGTTTTACGGGGTAGTCGTGGTTGGTGCACGAGCTCTCCATGAGCTCGTGGAAGTGGCCCGGAGGGTCCTGCCGGAGCTGCATGCCTGCTTGATCAGCCGTGTCGACTAATGCGGAGTTGGCCGGTCGACGGTGATTCTTTCTGTTCTTTTTCCCCCTCTGCGTGGAGGGGCCCTCGTCCTGATCTCTGGCGCTTGGCCTTGCCCTTGCCTCGGCCTCCGTCGAAGCGTGGGTGGGGCGACGTTTGTTGGGGGTTTTGGATAGAGGTCCACGGTCCCAAGCCATCAAGGCTAGGACTCCGGTCACTGCTGCGTGTGCCTCGGCTCGGTCCGAGCTGTGCATACACAGGCGGTCGGTGCGGAGCGGTCGTTAGGTCAAGACGAGGAGACGATGCGGCCTCCTGTACCGCGCTTGACGATTGTAGCGGCGATCGGGTGGAGCGTCCCATCTGCTGCGTCCCTGTTCCCCTAACGGGGAGCAAGGCCGTGAGTCGGCGTCGCGATACGAAACACTCGGCTTGCTGAACGACGGCGATCTCCACTAGTGCTCGGAGGTTCCGGTGGATCGCCTGTTCATGAGGGTCGTTCGGCTCGACAGGCCGCGCAGAAGCATTGCCGCGGCGACGATGTTCTGGTTCGCCCGAGCGAAGTGCGGGGGATCGCTCCCCCTGTCCATGGTGTTGTGCTGGACCCGATGGGCGCGACCCCGAGCGCCGCTCACGGCTCTCACGCAAGACGGGCGCAACGAGGTGCGCCGAAGCGTGGGAGGCGCGATCGGTGGTGCGTCATGCAGCCACCGTTGTCATAGTTCCTCCCTGTGCTCAAGTGTGAGCTCGGGGGTCTCTGCGTGAGGGTCCGGAGAGGTGTGAGTCCGTGAGGACTCCGCTTCCGCCGGTGGGTGTCCCAGAGTGTCCGCCATGGCGCACTCCCGGGACGGACGGTTGCTAGGCGCCATGTCGCCGATGCTGGAGTCGTCACTCTCGCCATCGTCATCCATGAGGTCGAGGAAACAAGTGGGGGCATAGCTCGTCATTCCCATGAATTCGGATGCGAGAGGGGGCGGTGTTGGCCTCCTTTGGAGCCCCCGGGCGTATGCGTCCGTGGAAGCATAAGGTCAGAGGGGGCGGTCAGACGGTGGTTGCGTCGGGGATATTGTGGTTCCGCGGTAATCGACGGAAGATAGAAATAGTAAGTAAATAACAGCGTGTACATTACTCACAGTGGGGTTTGAGCAGAGAGTTTGCTCGGAAAGAAGCGCAGATGCCGCGTCGTCGAAGTCGTACGTCCCGGAGTTGATGGAGGGCGCCCCTCCGACGGGTGCCGGGACGTGAGCCTCCTTGCGGAGGTGCAGTTCGATGAGCCGGTCGGCGACGAAGTCCAGGCTTCCGGAGAGGAAGGCCTGGGATGGCTGGAAGACGGGTGGAACCCGCATCCCAGTCGGTGGGAGTGTGGGAAAATCCGGCGAGCCGACGACGAAGTCCAGGCTTCCGGAGAGAAGGCTGGGATGGCTGGAAGACGGGTGGAACCCGCATCCCAGCCGGTGGGAGTGTGGGAAAATCCGGCGAGCCGAAGCGAATCGTATCGCCCGAGCCCGCCACGGCGAGGGTGGCGAAAAAGTGGGCCATCCGATGACCAAAAAGTGTTGAACGTACAGCGTCTTCCCCACGGACGGCGCCAACTGTCGGTGCAGAATGTGACCAACTAGTAAATATTTGTAGTTTTGCCGTACGTTGTGATAGGAGGTGGCCTAGCACTCAATGACACAGGGTTTATACTGGTTCAGGCAACGTGTCCTACATCCAGTTTGGGTCGGTTAGTGACTTTATTCCTGAGCCCAGGTGCTCGAAGTTTATAGTGGGGTTACAAAGGAGAAGGAGAAAGATGGGGTGTACAAGAGGTCCAGTCGGCTCCGATCGGAAGGGCCAAGAGCGATAGGAGCTACGCTATGAGCTAAATGTTCAAGCGTGTGCTTAGGGTACGAACCCGACGGTTCTGTGGTTGTGAGCTGATAAACTTGATCTACGTTGGTTTTCTCAAAAGGACTAAAACTCTCCTTTGTTAGAGGGAGCGCATCCCCTTTTATAGATAAAAGGGATGGCTTTACAAGTGAGAGAGTGAGGGTACGTATGCTACTGGGCTCTGTCGCCCATGCCGGCGGGTACAAGATAATGGTAGGCGCCTACAACACTGTTGGTCGTCACTCGTAGAGTGTCAGATGCATGTGGGAGGTTGTGTTTGCCTTCTTCAGGAATGGTAGACGTCGGTACCTATAGATATTGTTTGATGCCTAGAGACACGTGAGGAGTGTCACCATGTTCGCCTGATACGATAAATCTCGGCGCCCACAACACTATCGATGCCCAGAGGCATGTGGGGGGCCTTACCGTATGGGGGTTAACGGCGCCCACAATACTGTAGAGGTAAAAGCCAACGCCTACAATACTGTTTGTCAGGTTGCAGAGTACTGTTCCTGCAGGCGTGCAGGGTATGGTCCCCGATATCGTGGTTTGACTTACGCGCCCTGGCTTGCTTTCTCCGTTCGTCCCTGGCTCCTTCAGAGCAGGCGTCCCCGGTCGGATGGCTCCAGTCGACCCTGGTCGCGCCAGTCAAAGAAGAGCGGTGAGCAGGGTTTCTGCGCATCCCGATCGAAGACACGGGGTCGGAGTCGGAAGTAGCGCTTGGGCCAGGCCTTTCGACCGGAGAGGCCGTCCGGAGGCGGCTGGAGTCCGAAGCGAGCGCTCCGGTCGGAGAGGCGGGCCGAAGTAGTCGACGAGCAGGTGTCGTTCCTCTTCGGCCAGACCTTCCGATCAGTGACTGGACCGCTCTTTCGGCCTGTTGTTTTAGATCTTTGGGCCAGCCCATGAGTTGTGTGCTGCCCGCTTGAGCCGAGCCTTGGCGTGGAAGCCGGTCCCCGAGGGTCCCCGGGGTTTATGAACCCAACAACATGTGAACCACTATATAAAAAGACCAATATAGCTCTAAGTACAACTTAATCCATCGAACTCCAAACAAATAACCTATGCAGACTCGCAGATATAGATAATAGAGATAAAGAAACAAGGCAACACTTTTATAACTACATGTAAAGAAACTGCCAGCAACGTTCGCCCCTTAGGTTAAGTTAGAGCACTCCATAATATTCGTAAACACAAAGCAAACTATACTAGCAAAGAACACATGCATATAGTAGCGGCTAGCTTTAATAAGTCACTAAGTTTTCTATCTATAAAAGTGCATATCCATATTAAGTATGCTTAAATTCCAATTCCAAATACTAAAACAATGGTTTAAATTTGTACAAGTTGATCTAACTGTACTTCCTAATACAGAAAACTAAGCATATTGAACTTCAGTGGATCTTTTAAATGCAGATGATCTCTTGAGCACACATCTAGAATTGATCTTCTGGAAGCTTCTCTAGCAAACAGCAGCACTGGTGATATTCTATCTTCCATATGGATGGTAACGACCAGCAGCACCACTGCCACCAGTGCTACCATAGCCTGTCCTAGCACCATAGAGTAAACCGGTGCCAAACCCAGCACAAGTATTAGCCCCTGAAGAATCATAACTAGGACCATAGCTAGAACCACCATAGCCCCCGGCATCACGCCCATATGCACCAGCTAATCCACCGGCATAACTGCCACCACCATACCCGCCACCAAAGCTGCCTCCGTAAGTGCTACCATAGCGACTAGAATAAAGGGGGGGCTCTCCACGGTATCCTATTAATGCTCCACCATAAGTAGCATAGCCGCTACCATAATCACCAGGACCATAAGCACTATTGTAACCTCCAGGCCTAGCGCCAAAACTTCCAGGTGATCTATAAGGACCAAAACTACCACCATAATTGTAAGAGCTGCCAAATCCATCATAACTGTCTGCATATGGACGGCCCCTAGGTTCGCTATCAAGTGAACAAGGTGGTTCGTTAGAGGGTTTCTTTGGTTCTGCCTTCTTGATCTCAACCTACAGCAAAGCAAGAAAGTCAAACCTATATTTCTTTCAAATCTGTTTACTTCCAAGATTGGAGTGAGAATAACCTGCCACTCATATAAGAGCAAAACTAGGGCAACTGAAACAAAAAGACCCAATAAGATGTGCTCTACAGACTTAACTAGAATACCACAATTTGTTACTGTGTGCAGTCTTGACCGCAGGAAATAAGATTTACAAAGCTCAGAAAAAGCTACACGATGCCTCACCTGAGAACCATTTAGATCAATCATATTGCCTTTCTTAGCTAATAAATCATCTACCGCTTTTCTGCATCAAAGACTATAAAACCAAATCCACGTGGCCGGTTGGTTGTATGGTCACGGATGATTTCATACTCCACAACCTTTCCAAACTTGGAAAAGAATTCCTTGAATTCATCTGTCAATTCAAATTATGTCACCAAATTCAATTTATTATGCAGGGCAAAAAAGCACATTTGCTACTACGCAACCAAGGAAACACAGATATACCTTCTTTTAGAGCTGAGGGTAATCCACCAACAAAAATCTTCTTCGTCTTGAAATCTTTCAAGGGAGCAGCTCCCTTAGGGATCGTTCTCTTAATTTCAACCTGCATTTTAAGAGAATCAGATTTCAAACTACGCACAGAAGTGCTTCTTATGTTTACTATATGTTTTCATGAAACATGATGTACTGTGAGCTAATACAGAGTGAGACAAAGATATAAACCAAAGACAAAACCGAAAAGTTTACCAGCTTTCCATTGATAACATGCTCATCCTCAATCACTCCGTCAACAACAGCGGGATCAGCAAAGGTAATAAAACCAAAGCCTCTGGGCTTTTGAGTGTAGCGGTCCTTCATTATGACAGCATCAATTATATCCCCATACTTCCCGAAATGTCCTTTGAATGTACCTGAAAAGTCACGAAGTAAAGCAGTTGGTTGTTGAAGGTCCCACAGAATAAACCTTGCAGGTAAAGGCAATCTAAATATCTTCCATGAAAATTATTATGACCTTTTACTTGAAGTCACAGAAAATAAATGTCACAAAATCAGTACAGCTCCAAACTAGTTAGCTAGTTTACTAAACAATCATTCCACAGGCCCAATTAACCAGCTCACAACATAAACAAAGGTATATATCCTAAAAATCTATCATAATAAGCAGGAAGAAACATTTGAAGTATACGTTTTGTCCCTGAATGTTACAGTATTTTGCTTTGAAAACTTCTCTTGTAGATACCATTAATGTAAAGCGATTGTGTTTAGCCGTAATTTAAAAGATGACAAGTTGCCACAAAATAGTATTAGCAATGGGGATAAAACCACCATAGATTGTCAGGCATCAGGCCATTTCCCAAGAACATGGACATATAACAATATAAATGTATTATTGTACCTCACAAATTTAATGAAAGGATCAACTCCACCTATAATTCGAACTCAACAACGTGAGACTGTACGAAAATTAGCAAAATAAATAATTACCAAGTTAACAAATCATCAACAAACAAGAAATCAAGAGCTAAGTCCTCTCCCGACTCAACAAAACAGAAAAAGGCATAACTCAGTGCTCCCAAATCAAGTTAGACATGCTTCCTTAGTAAGGGTAGTCACATGCTAAGCATACACTGAGACACGAAATTAACTAAAAACTAACTAATCAACACTGGATCGAGTAAACTAGCGTGCACAAAAGATGATGAACAGCCATTACAAGCAACGAGAGGCCAGATCTGAGGGAATACGAGGAAACCTAGCTAATACAAGGAGAAGACGGCAGAAAAAATTGAAATCCGCTAAAAGCCAAATATGGAGGGGATCCGCACGTACTCAGGCTTGTGTCCTTGGAGAGCCCACCGATGAAGATCTTACTGAACGAAGCCCAAAAGCATAGCAAAAAGAATCAGCGAAAACCGTTCCCATGGTTTGGAAAACAACTCAATGGCCATACTACGGGAGGGGAAAGTACTCACGCAGGGCTGGCGCCGTCTAACTCCTTCATCTTGCCGGCCATCTCGTACGAGATCTTGGGAGATCGGAGCTACGCAAGGGATGGGGTTTCTTTTTTTTCTTTTTTTTTTTGGGAAAGGGATGGGTTTCTAGTGCAGAGAGAAGACGGGTGCCGTCGACTTCGAACGAGGGAGACTTCACATTTTTATCGTCTTATTTCACCCATCATCGTTAAAAACTAACTGGTTTCACATTTTTATCGTCTTATAAAGTGATTTCTCGTTTCTCGTTAGCGTGTTTGTGCGTTGCTATAAGACGACTAAACTTTTGCACTAAAAATACACGGATCGCACGATAAGATAACAATACTATGAAATTAAATACCAACGTTAAAATGACATTTAATCCAAAAGACAAATTTCGTGAAATTAACACAATCACGGAGAGCGCGGCGTCGGAGGCTCACAAACTCTATTGTATAGACCTTTCCATGATACAGCTAAGATAATGTTTTATATCGACAGGAAGAAATCTCCGATATCCATTTCTTTCCTACTCCAATAAATTCACGAATAAGTTGCGCCGTATCTTCATACCATCCTATATGTAGGTTCGAATATATATGTAAATATTAGTGTTTGTGTGTTACAATGAAAAATAAAAATATTTTCTTGACTACCTCAAGTCGAGCGACAACTGCATTCTGAGATTGATGGACACATAGACAGATGCTCCATCCACACGATTTATTCTAAAAGATTATCATACTAAGACCATTTTATTTGCTTCTATAATAAATAATCTGACCATTTTAGTTTTCTTGGTAGTATAAATAAACTTAATAAAATTAATTATCTTAAATTCATTCTAAAACTCAGAAGCTTTGATGACCATTCTATTTGATTATGCTCAATAGGTTTCATAAGATGAGACATGTATCTTTAGAATTTCTAAGTAAATCAATTCATCAACTTTTACATGGTCTGTGCAAAGGACTGTTTTGCAGTCTTTGAAACAAAATCACTAAGTGGTGACACATCTAGCTAATGACTCAGCATAAAATTTGTGCCATTTCTTCCTTACAAAAAGGACTGAAACTAAGTGATGCAACCCTAACCTTGACTTGGCCTGGCCGCCTCCACCGCCGCCAAGCCCCTAACGCTGCCCTCCCGCGCCATCCCCACCGCCTGGCCGACCTGTCTTCCCATGAACCCCCTTCTAAGCCCGCCGGAGTTAGAGAAGAAGAGGGCAAGAGGCCAGAACCCTAGCTGTCGCCGTTGTCGTCTTCCTCTCTGGCGGGGCGCGGGCGTGGGCGCGTGGGCGCGTGGGAGAGGGAGAGGGTGGGTCGGGCCACGTTGCGTTGCGTGGAAGAGGGATAGGGAGAGGAAAGGGGTGGTTGGCGCATGACGCGGGTCCGACCGGATAATTGGCCTACAAATTCCTTTATACGCCACCCAATTAAAATTAGGGAAAATATAACATAAATTTAGAAAGTTCTCATCATAAGATCAACCAGTATCCTAGTCCTGATTGTTCATGCTTCGTGAAGAGTGGCAATTATTAATAAATGAAATGCTACGAACATCATCAAGCTTAAGAATCTTTTTTTACAATAATATAACATGCGTCCAAAGTTAAATTATTATTGTGCTATTTTATTTCCATTATAATGCACATCCTATAATAATATTAAAAATGAAAAAATGGATAAAGTCAAGTACCCTGTACAGCAATCAATCAAAAACACATTTTCCTACCCCTTTTCCTCACCATCTGAAGGCCCAACAAGGCCCAGCAGCCCAAATTTTTGCTTACTGCACCCGCACCAGGGACATGCACGTCTCCCACGTAGTTGCGCTCGCCTCCTCGGTCCTCGCTGCCTCCCGGTATTCTTTCCCCCCACTAATATATTACCCGTTTTAACGCTACGATGAAATTCAGGACAACACAAATTAAATAACTAAAATGGTTTATATGTTTTGGTGATTTTGAAAAATCATCGATCACAATTATATTATTAAAATAAAAAACATGATTCTGATGACATGATACCAAATAAAGATTACTTGCATGACAACAATGATATCAGAATATAGTGGATACATACACAACCTTTCAGGTTTTTACATACAATAGAAAGTTTGGCATACACTAGGAAATTACATGTTGTAGCCTGTCTGACTGGTAACCTCGGTGGTGCTTTAGATTTTGCTCCGCACGTGACAATCAAAATTGCACTTTCTGACATAAACTAAACCTCGACAAGTGACACCGGTGATCAGAGTGATAGTTTCCTATCATGTTTTACCAACATCAAAGATAGAGAATTAACATCAACAAAAAATAAACTGAAATTGTCTCTAACACTATAGCTTGCAAAAAAAAAGAGATACAAGGGGAAAAAAACAACGTCCTAAAATGAAAAATAAAAAAGGATTAAACCCAGATAATGCCAAGAGGAAGACTGAACCTTGACAAAAACTGTGCGTAGCTTGCATCCAGTAAAATGACTGAATACCTTCTCTTGAGAATTGAGGTCACTGATGAATAGTGTACAAGCAGCATTGAATACAATATATGTATCCTTGCTATCACAATTTGTGGCCCCTTATGATCCACCAAGGCCTGTAGATGTACAAAGGCCTCCTCCTATACGGCTGCTTCCAGCAACAGCCCGGCTTACACCATTGCCACCACCAAAGCTAAGTGCCTTGCTTCCATTCCAGTGCCCAGCAGCCTTGCTGCCACATACCGCATCCCATTGTCAACTGTGATAAAAATGTAAAGCAATGATCATGGTAAATCATTCATTTCCCAATCAAAACATAAGCATATTATAATAAAAAATTTTGAAGTCCAAAATCCAAAATGTATGACAAAGCAGAGAAATAAACCAACAGAATTCGACAATATTTATTCTTCAATAACATAAAGCTTCCACTTATTTATACTGAAACCAAACAGAACCGCAACTTCACTGATGAAGCATCCAACAAACTAACAACTAAACTAAGTTGTCCAAAATACCTAAGATAATTCTGTTCTGTAGTACCAAGCACATAATTCTATGATCATTTTGCCTCAAACGGATCCTGAATCCCAATTAAAATCCTATTAGCAGTGAAGTATATTGTTCGTGCTAACGCTATGGACCACATTAAATCCAAAGTTAATTCTAGAAAAATATCGGTCTTGCGTTGGGCTAACGCCAGTAGTGTGGTCGTGCTATGAACTCAACAATACTAGTCAAGCTGTGCATCATTTAAACATAAGGCAATCGTTTTTATCTTCCTCTAATTTTTTTGTGCAAAATTTAAAAAGGATAAATTCACTGCGTAGAATAGGTTTACCTATTTGGAACACGTAAGCTAGGAAGAACAGACTTGATCACAATTGACTATAGAAGGGGAAACAAGGATTTAAATTAGGGAGAAACTGACCATAATTCATCATCTGCAGGAATGTTCTGACAGCATGCATCAAGTATGGCATCTTAGTATAAACTTAATTCCGTTACTTTTTCACATTCTTTGCTATGTGTACGAAACTAACCATTCCCTGTTCCTGCCATATATACGGAACAATTTTTATTAGTAGGGCAAATCTTGAACAGTAATTAGAAACAATGTGAAGCACTTTTTGCTCATAACCATGCATAAAAACATGCTAAAATACATAAGACATAGAAGATATATATGAAGCATGAATTAAAATGACCATAGCGGCATAGCGCTAAAAGCTAATTTCATGGAAAATTAGAAGCATAATGACACCCTTGTTGACATAGTTGGAAATAAACTAACGTATGTATTCATAGGGAGAATAAGCAAGCTGCCAGTCATACCTTCCATATCTCAATGCCCAGGGCATGAAGATGAACACAAAGAGATCATCTATATATGTTGTACGAAAGTAACTATTCGTATCGTTTGCTCAGATCTATGGACTAGCTAGATTTTTCAATTTTCCAGTCATGTCAAATTTAATGACCAATCAACTGAATATCCTGTCTCATGGCCATCATTTTGCTCTGAAATATGCTAAAGAGAATATGTTAACTTTGCATAAACTCCATTATCATGCAGTGTAAATTTAAACCCAAATTCATCAAATTAATAAACAAATTTACTTCAGCTAAAAACGCATTGATGTGAATTAACAGAGATTGAGCATTTTTAAGTAGGTCGTGCAGAAGTAATTGTAAACACATATTGGTAGTCAACTCGTAAAGAGACAAGTAGCAGAATCCCATCTGCAGTTCTGCACAGAGGCCAAATCGAAAGAGAGCGTGCATCGCTGTCCCTCTAGGCACAGATGCACAATCCTCCTTTCTGATTGTATGAGTTTTAGGAACAAGAAAATACGGCTCAACTTGTGAATGAGTAGCGAATCTGGGGCTTGTGTACCAGCGCTTGGCCTCGGGCTCGTCGCCGTCGCTCTGCTGCGACCCGTTCTCCGCCTCATCATCGCCGAAGGCCATACTCCTCCGCGAGGGTAGGCCTGGGGGCCTGTGGCGGCCCGGACGGCCGGCAGTGGCACATGCTGGGCGACTGAGTTCTTGGCGGGGGGGCGGCTGGGATGGCTGGGCGCTTAGGGACTCTGGTGGTGGTGCTCCGGGAGGCAGGACGCCCCCGCAACAACCGGAGGGAGGACGTGGACTTGCCGCTGCTCCCCTTGGGCCTGTGCACGACGACGACTGGAGTGCGGTGGCGGCTAGGGTTTCCATGTAGCCGTCGCTGCCTACCTGAGGTCTTGAGGAGACGATGCCATAGGAGGGCCCGGGCGTGTGGAGCTGCGGACTCGAAGCACACAAATGGTCGTCATTAGCACACAAGAAGCGAGTGCTTGGTTGAATAGTGCATGTAACAAAGAATTGGCATCCCAGCGTGAAGGTGATAGTAAAGGGGAGGAACTGATAAAAAAATCTATAGAAAAATAAAACAGGACAAGAACTGTAAGTTGTAAACATTTGTTAGTTGATATATACCAGCAGTGCCCACATAAAATTTATATTCAGTATGAATTCACATTGACAAGACTTAGGGAATCTGAGAGCTAATTCTC